AACGAGCCGAGAGAGTGGTCAAGGATCATAAGGTGAAGAACTATCTATTTGCATCGATAGATAAGACCATCCTGAAAACTATCCTGAAGAAAGATACTTCAAAGGATCTGTGGGATTCAATGAGGAGGAAGTATCAGGGGAACACACGGGTGCAAAGTGCACAGTTGCAAAGATTGAGAAGGAGCTTTGAGGTACTAGAGATGAAGGTTGGAGAAACTATCACTGGCTACTTCTCAAGAGTGATGGAAGTCACAAATGATATGCGAAACCTGGGAGAGGACATGCCAGATTCGAAGGTGGTGGAGAAGATATTGAGAACTTTGGTTGAAAAGTTCACATATGTAGTTTGTGCCATAGAGGAGTCCAATGATATCGGTGAAATGACTGTCGACGGCCTGCAGAGTTCTTTGATGGTTCATGAACAGAATTTGAGCAGACATGAAGGAGAAGAACAGGTCTTGAAGGCTGAGGCTCAATGGAAAAATGATGGAGGAAGAGGCCGAGGCAGAGGAAGGGGAAGAGGAGGATATCAAGGACGTGGGAGAGGAAACGCAAACTACAGCAAGGAACATGTGGAGTGTTTTAAATGCCATAAGAAAGGGCATTATAAAGCAGAATGTCCAGAGTGGGAAAAGGAAGCAAATTATGCTGAGATGGAGGAAGACATGCTTCTAATGGCTCAAGTCAGTCTGATCAAGGAGGAGAATGAACACATATGGTTTCTAGAGTTAGTCTGATCAAGGAGGAGAATGAACACATATGGTTTCTAGACTCTGGATGCAGTAACCATATGTGTGGAAACAAAGACTGGTTCATAGAGTTAGACAACAACTTTCGTCAAACTGTGAAGTTAGGTGATGATAGGAGGATGGCTGTAGAGGGAAAAGGAAATCTAAGGCTGGAAATTAATGGAGCAATATCTGTTATCACTTCGGTGTACTATGTTCCAGGGCTGAGAAATAATCTGCTAAGTGTGGGGCAACTACAAGAGAAAGGGCTGAAGATTGTTATTGAGGATGACACTTGTGAGGTTTGGAGCAAACGTCACAAGAGGCTTGTCATGTACTCCACCATGTCTAAGAATCGCATGTTCATTGTTCTCGCAAAGATAAAGAACTCAAGGGAAGCCACAGAAAATTGCTGTCTTCAAGTGATGGAGAAACCTGATCAGCTTTGGCATAAGAGATATGGGCACCTTGGTCACGGTGGACTTAAGGTGTTGGCAGAGAAGAAAATGGTAAATGGTTTACCAAAGCGAAATCCAGAGCAGACCGAAGTTGTTGCGTGTGATGTATGCTTGAGGGGAAAACAGATTCGAGATAAGATTCCAAAGAAGAGCTTGTGGAAATCAAGTCGAGTGTTGCAGTTGGTACACAGCGACATATGTGGACCTATAAGTCCCACGTCTGAGAGTGGAAGGAGGTACATAATCAATTTTATTGATGACTTCAGTAGGAAATGCTGGACCTACTTTCTCTCTCAAAAATCAGACGCATTCAGTACATTTAAGGAGTTCCAAGCGGCTGCAGAGAGGGAAAGCGGTCAGAAGCTAGCCTGCTTGAGAACGGATCGTGGAGGAGAATACAGATCCAAGGCGTTTGATGATTACTGCATGGAGAATGGGATTAAGAGGCAACTAACTGCAGCCTATACACCACATCAGAATGGAATCGCAGAAAGGAAAAATCGCAGCATCTTGAACATGACAAGATGTATGCTGATCGAAATGGCTGTACCAAGGAGATATTGGCCAGAAGCTGCTCAGTATGCAGTGTATGTCTTGAATAGGAGCCCCTCAGCCGCTCTGGAGAATGTCACGCCGCAGGAGAAGTGGAGTGATCACAAACCATCTGTAGAACATCTCAGGGTCTTCGGTTGCATTGCATATGCGATGGTTCCATATCAGAATCGAATCAAACTCGATGAGAAGAGTACAAGGTGTGTGATGTTTGGAGTAAGTAAAGAAACAAGGGCATATCGTCTATACAATCCCAAGACAAGAAAGATAATAATCAGCAGAGATGTGCACTTTGACGAAGGAAAAGGTTGGAACTGGGAGAGTGATAGTCAAGACAGTGAGCTGACTTGTGATGATGCAGAGTCAGAGAAGGGAGATGACACTGAGGAAATGGAGATCGAAGAGCAAAATGAAGGAGAGGGACATACTGCACCACCAGGTGAACCTGCAGTGGCAGTACAGAATGCAGAGGAAGCAACTGCGGTTGCAAGTGAAGTGGGACAAGCACAACAAGCTCCCACACGAGAAGGAAGCAAGAGACAGGTGCGCAGACCGTTGTGGTTTAAGGACTTTGATACCAGTGGAGCAGGAATTCTTGTGGCAGAGGAAGGAGAATCTGGTGACAGGCTACTCGCAATGTTCATAGCACCAGAGGATCCTGATTCTTTTGAGGATGCTGTTCAACTTGAGGTATGGAGAAAGGCAATGGAAGCAGAGATCTCTTCTATTGAGGAGAACCACACATGGGAATTAATGAGTTTACCGAAGGATGCCAAAGTCATTGGAGTTAAGTGGGTCTACAAAACAAAATTTAATGAAAAAGGCGAGGTGGACAAATTCAAGGCAAGGTTAGTAGCTAAAGGGTATCATCAGAAATATGGAATAGATTTCTATGAGGTGTTTGCACCTGTAGCTAGATGGGATACAATTAGAGCCATACTAGCTGTTGCAGCTGAGAAACGATGGAAGGTGTATCAACTTGATGTTAAGAGTGCTTTCTTGCACGGAAACCTGGAGGAGGATGTGTACGTAGAGCAACCGAAGGGTTTTGAAGTAGAAGGTGAAGGAGAGAAAGTGTACAAGCTGAACAGAGCCTTGTATGGACTAAAACAGGCTCCAAGAGCCTGGTATAGTCGCATAGAAGGGTACTTTACACGAGAAGGTTTTGAGAAGTGTTTCTGTGAGCACACTTTGTTTGTTAAACAGAGTAAGGAGGGTCTTCTTCTGGTGAGTCTCTACGTAGATGATCTGATTTACACCGGAGATTCCAGCGACATGCTTGCAGAGTTTAAAAACTCAATGATGAAGGAGTTTTCTATGACAGATCTTGGAAAAATGAGGTTTTTCTTGGGAGTTGAGGTGAGTCAGGATGAGGAAGGTATCTTCATTTGTCAACAGAAATATGCAGAAGAGATACTGCAGAGATATGGGATGGAGAATTGCACTTCTGTCAAAAATCCGATTGTCCCTGGTCATAAGTTATCAAAGGAGGGAGCTGGAGAACCGGTGGATGCAACACAGTTCAAACAAATAGTTGGAAGCCTAAGGTATCTGACGGCTACCAGGCCAGACTTGATGTACTCAGTAAATCTGGTAAGCAGGTATATGGAGAAGCCAACAGAACAACACATGGTTGCAGTAAAAAGGATCTTAAGGTATGTGAAGGGGACAACAATGTATGGAGTTCGATACAGATGTGGTGGGGACAAGAAACTGTTTGGCTTTGTGGATAGTGATTACGCTGGAGACACAGATGATAGAAGAAGCACCTCAGGTTATGTGTTTCAGATCGGAGGAGGAGCTATCTCTTGGTCGTCAAAGAAACAACCTATTGTGACCTTATCCACTACAGAAGCTGAGTTTGTGGCTGGTGCATACGGGGCTTGTCAAGCTGTTTGGCTGAGAAATGTTCTAAAGGATATTGGGTTGGAACAAGGAGAAGGTACCATTCTTTACTGTGATAATAGTTCTACTATTAAATTGTCAAAGAATCCAGTGATGCATGGAAGGAGTAAACATATACAAGTGAGGTTCCATTTCTTGCGTGAGCTGGTGAATGATGGAACCATTGAGCTGGACTATTGTTCAACAGATGATCAACTCGCAGATATCATGACAAAGGCTGTTAAGTTGGAAGTGTTTGAAAGACTCAGAGGTAGAATGGGAGTTTGTGAGAAAGATGAGTAAACAGAAAGGAGAGCTTTCAGTTTAAGGGAGGGAATGATGAATAAAGTATAGCCGTTGCAGAGGCTTGGAGTTTAAGTTTGAAGAGTTAAAAGCAAGAATAATTCCTCCGAGAATGTAGGAGAGTTTTTTTAATTTTCAATTTGTTAGCTATTTTAATGCATTCTGTTTTCAAAGTAGTTGTTCTCTTGTAAGGTTTTTATATGACCGAGTTTTCTTAATGGAAGTGGTACGAAGTCTTTCAGTTCATTCTCTATTGTTCTTCTGAAAGCTTTTACAAAGTAACACCAACGTAAGGATCAAAAACCCCTGCTTCTTCTCCTCTAGAGTCATGTTTTCCAAGAAAGACGACATGTTTCGCATCCCCGGATCTGGAGGCCACCTCATCGGGTCATGGGATCCCTACAAACCAAGCGGTAACCCCCAGTTGCAGAGCTTGCGATTTCAAAACCTTCAAAAGCTGCTGCCGTGCGCACATGAGGTTATGCAATCGTGCTCCACGACCGAGCACTTGGTTGAGTCAAAAACCACCGGTGAGACTTTCTTGGTTAAGATATACAGGAAACTCGACGAGATCATTGATGCTGTTTCCAAAATGCAAACAAATTGTGTACTGACGTTAAAGCTAGACGAAAAAGGTAATGCTGTTCTCATGGGTGACATCGGAGATCTCGTCATTTTCATCTCCAGGAATGAACTTTTCTGTGTCCCTGCTAGCTCCTTTCCCGGTTTGGTACCTAACCATGTTTACATCTCGGCTGTCGATGAATTCTCATATGTCCATCTGTCTCGCATCGTAATCCTTAATTACATTTGGTACATACCCGGCCCCTTACCATATCCCACCTCAAAATATAAACTAGAGTTGTGCTTTGTAATGTACTCAGAGAGTACTCATGCATATCACTGCTTTTATTTTCACAACTAGCTAGTTTGTAATAGTGCGCGGAATATTCCAGTTCACATATTATTCACAACTAGCTAGCTTGTATTATTCACAACTAGCTAGCTTGTATTCAAGATTCTTATATTTTGCGTTAACAGTCACTCCGCTGAAACAAGATATTTTAGAGGGAATGATAACTGTAGCTTTGAAACTTGAATTTGGGGTTCATCATAACCAGATCTTTGAGAGGTATTATATTTCTTCCATGTCATGGCAAATCTTGATCATCTTTTTTTCCAAATCAGAGGTTTGGCCCCCAAAACTGTTCTTTTACTCATCAGATTTCCCTCTGATTTTGTTATGTGAGCAGAACCATAGCTGCACATTTTACCGACCCTTTTGACGTGACCACAAGGGTGGCAAACAAATGCAATGATGGCACTCTGGTCGTGCAGGTAGCCAACTTAATCTCTTCAAAAATATTGTATCGTTAATTCTCAGCTCCCTCATTCTTATTCACGTCTACTCAGGGTTATAATTAATCATGCAGTTCCTATTTACAGGTTATGCTACATTCTCTAGTCAAGGCCAACTTGGTAGTCCTTGATGCTTGGCTTGATCTTCAAGATGGATTTGTTCATGGACAAAGTGATGGAAGACCGACTTCAACGTTCTTTCCACTTGATGTGTCTCCAGGATCTAGAGCAGCAATTGTGTTCAGTATATGCCTAGACAAGACGATGTCTTCAGGTATTCCTATTCTTCTAAGTAACTGTTAATATAACACGCTCTCTTAAACTGATAATGCCACCTGCAAACTTGGAAGCTATTTCTGATTTCAGAGTCGCATAATATTACTGATTTGGCGAGAAAGTGCGATACAGATAATGTAACATAGAATAGGAAGATCCACTCCGTCTTGTTCTTTTCCTCCATAAATCTTTTATGAAGTGGCTATTAGCATTCAATTGCATTTGCATATTGAAACAGAGGTCATGGAGTATCCATTCTAGTAAATGAAGTCGCTTTCGTTCAAAGACAAGTTTACATATGTGAATTGTTTGTGAAAAACGGTCCGTGTGAGATTGACGTGTATAGGGAGGAAATGAAGGATAAGGCTTTAAGGGCCGAATGGGATGAAATAAGAGTGTGTGGAAGATTGCAAAGAGAAAGAACAAGCTATGGAGAGGTGAAACTGAGAAAGTATCGTCGACCATGGCTTTGGTGGAGGAAGCAGAGGCCAGGGCTTTGAGATGGAGGAAGGAGATTCAGTGGGATGTAGATCAGGGACAGTGCCGTGACTAATAATACAGAGTCCAATAGGTGGTATTAAAAAAAAAAAACGTTAATTCATACAAAATTAATAGCATCATTATCTTAATCTCATACAAAACGATTAATAATATCATTCCAAATAAAGAAATCAGAGTAAATAATAAAATTTTCATTCTAAAACACAATTTTTCTCCTTTTTTTTTGGAATTGCTAACTAAACTTTTTTTGTTTTTTTAAAAAAACATTTTTCAGATTACCTTCTCAAGCATAACCTGGTGCTGCTCCCTCTCTTCCCGGTTTGTCTTGCCTCTTTTAAAAGCTCTCTATTGCATCTATTTTCTTCACTCAGGTTGCTCTGCTTTTTGGAATCCTTTCATCAAAAAGATTTTATTTTTTTTTATTCAGATTACTTCCTCAAGCACAAGCACAGCCCCATGCAGCTCCCTCTCTTCCAGGTTTGTTTTGCCTTTTTTGAAGTCAGTCAAGTCACTGATAAATCTCTTTTGATTTCCTAACTTTGAAACCTTCATTCGTCCGTAGGTCATTAGTAAAAAGCCTAAGAATAGTCATGAGAAGAAAGAAACAACAACAAAAGACGGCAACATGCCGTCGTCGCCGCCATGGCTAAGGTGGATAATCTTAACAAACTGTCTGATCTGAAAGAGATCGATCGGTCGTTGAAGAAGGCCGCAAAGGCGGAGAAGGCATAAGAATGAGGCCGATGACTTGGATAAGGACGAGCGCCGGTGTTAGATGGAGGTTGCTTTGTACCAGAGGACGGTGCTGGCGACGGAGGCAACCACGAAAGAGGTTTGGTCACTCATTTTCGTTTTTTTTTTTTTAAGGTTAGACGATCAGTAATTGCGGTTTAAAGCTTAAATCATAGCTAGAACTATGGAGTTAAACTTCTCTTTAAAGTTAAATTATGGACGATCAGTGATCATTCTGTTCTTGGATCATTCTTAATTAATGACCGTCTCTTTTTCTTTATTCGTCGCCAAAAAGAAGTTTCCAATCTTTTGGTTTACGTCGTGCTTATCTTGATCGTACTAAAACATTTTAAAAGAAAATACTAGACTATATAACACATTTTTTGTGTATTACAGTAATGTCGGAGAAATAATGTCAATTTTAAATAAATTTTAAGGTGGATTTTTTCCATTAAACTTTGATCTTGATGTTTCAATCATTTAAAAATAAATGATACTCCGAAAGTTGACCCTTTTAACTGAACACTACTCCATTCAATATCTTAACACTTTGATTATATTATAGTATTACTTTTTGTTAAAGAAGTGGAAAATGATTTCCCATATATATTAATGACTGAATCAATCGACTACGATATATTAAGTCTGCTAACTAATACTAATATATAGATATATATATATATATATATGTAATTCATGTGAACATATTATTTAATTAGATTTTTTTTTCAAAAAGCATCTTTAAGAGATATAGAAAAATGTTTGTTTTAAATTTACAAGGGACTTTCCCCAAAAAAATTGATATTATTTTTTTGTATTTGGGGTATTATTTTTTGTTGCTCATGAGTCATGATCTCTATTAATATTTATATAAATTAATGTATGATTTGATGTTGAGCTAAGTTAGAAATTGTTTTAGTTATGTCCACCCATATATCGATAGTTAAATCATTGTTTTTTATGTTGGGCTATGTAATCGATGAGCGTTACATTACATCAGAGCATACAAAAATATACAAACTTGATTTCCATAAATACAAGAGAAATTAAAATTCAGTAATCGAGATGCCATAAGTTAGACATGCCACGCAACTATAATTAGCTAATTACTGTGTAGGTTGACATAGACCCATAGAAGGCTGAGAATAGACAACATTAATCCAGCGAGAAAATAATAAAACGTGAACGGCAGGATTCGAACCTGCGCGGGCAAAGCCCACATGATTTCTAGTCATGCCCGATAACCACTCCGGCACGTCCACTTGTTGCTATTCCTTACTTATTTATAATCTTATATTTTGAAAAAACACAATAAAGGTCGTTTAAAGTTTAAACCTCCTAATTCCTTCGCATGCTTTCTCGTCTTTATTCATTTATTTTGTTTTCCCGAAAACTAACAGTGATTGATTTATCACCTAAGCCCATCACAACATCCCCACCATCAAGTCCGCCTTGGATAGACCAATATTGGTGCCTAATGAAAGGATTGCTCATAGACTAATAGTCAACAAATACTTCATTTAATAATGGAACACTAATAGTAGTCTTAACTCATAACAAAATGGTAGCTTATCATCACTCATATTCCAGGCTGATGACATCATTGACATGTTCTTATAGAACGGTTAATTCCACACATGATCCTTCGCCGATGGAAGCCAAACATAAATTCGAATTAAATATTAACACTTTTTAAAATTGATTTATAACCGATGGTGGGGCTAATTAGTAACAAATAACTAAAAACCAATGTAATTAAAAAAAAAACAGAGTTTCTAACTCACTAACCAGATTTTCATAGCTAACAATTTTGACTCTTATTTTTAGATAATATCGTTTTGTTTCTTTTGATAACATCGTTTTTGTCATTCAGTATCTCTTACTCTTGTACAATTGCCTTAAAAACAATTGATCCCAATTCAGATAACAATCATGAGTTTTTATTGAAATCATCACAAAGTAAGACTAAAGACTACTACTAGATGAATTATAGTGAAAAAAAAAATATTTTGGTCTTGCTTTGACATTTTTTAGAAGAAAAAAAGATAAAACTAAAAGTTACTATCAATAAGATGAAACAATATTATTAAGGATGATTACGTAAAAACTAATACCTACTACTAGCTACTAGATGAAACAATTTTAGGCCGTTTTATCTTCATCTAATAACACAAATTTTGCACATAAGATTTTGATTAGTTGTCACACTTTATCTAATCATTTAAACCGCTAAATCTATTATTAAAGGTCAACTGATTAAAATAACACACCACTGGAAACCGATTTTAGCAAAGGTTAAGTTTATTATATATAATTATATGCAAATAGTTCCTACTCTTTATATTTTGCATAAAAATAACATATAATATATAGTAGTACTCAATTATATTTTTTTATCCTATATTTTCTAACATAAATTCAATAATTAGTAAATTAGAGAAGGATCCAAGCAATCAAAAAGTTATATACCTTCCTAAAAATTAAGGTCGAAAAGTTCGTCGATCATTATCCATAAACACATATCTGAAAATAGAGACCGTCTTAAACGCAGAGACACATTTAAAAATGATCGGGTACAAATAGTCTATTTCTCTCTCTTGTGTTTATTCTTTCAAATATAATATGTGAACAGAGGTTAGAGTAGATATTTAGCTTATAATTACCATTGCAAACATTTTTAAGAAAAAAAAAACCAGACATAATGGGTGGTTAAAAAGAAAAAAAAATTATGGGTGTTTTTAAAACCCGATCTTTTCATATGTCTTATAAATCAAACTCAATAACTGTTTTTCTCTCCTGGCTAGTAGTTGTTTTTTTTTGTCCCTCACTTCTCGTATATGGTGATCCTTTTAGGAAGAGAGAAATTACTTTTTGCAGACACACGAGAAAGAATTAAGAAAAAGAGCTTGTACTTCTCAAACTCAGAGAGAGAATCCAAGAATATTGAGTTCAAATTATAGAATTATTCTTGTTCTTATGTTTCAATGATTATACTTCAGAAGAACTATACCTTATTAAAGAACTATACACGTAGTATGTTTAAGAACTATATACATAAATAAAAGTAAATATGATATAATTAATTAATTACTCGGGTCCAATTTCTTTTCTTTCTTTTAATGAAAATTCTATAATCCGTCATTATATGTTTAATTGGAAGGAAAAAAAATGCTCTAGCAAATAGTGTTTTTGCCTATTTGTTTACATCCGCTAATTAAGCTTTCACGTCCGCCTCTCTACTTAAAAAAAATTATACTTTGAAAAATTTATAATTTCAAAATACTTAACGTACTTAAGTGAAAAAAAATTAATGGAATCAGATAATCCAGTATATATGTTTTACTAGCTAATCGTTGGAAAAAATAGTTTGGCCATGAATATTTTTGTATTTGGTCTTTTTTCCAACTATTGTAAAATATATATTATCATCTATGATTATCTTAGTTTCTCCTTAAAAACATAAATCCGAATTAACTATTAACACTTTTTTAAATTGATTTATAACCGATGGTGGGGCTAATTAGTAACAAATAACTAAGGAACCAATGTAATAATAATAATAAAAACAAAGAAAAACAGAGTTTCTAACTCACTAACCAGATTTTCATAGTTTAACAATTTTGACTCTTATTTTTAGATAATATTGTTTTGTTTCTTTAGATAAGATCGTTTTTGTCATTCAGTATTTCTTGTGGTATATACACTCTTATACAGTTGCCTTAAAAACAATTGATCCCAATTCAGATAACAATCATGAGTTTTTATTGAAATCATCACAAGGTAAGACACTACTAGATGAATTATAGTGAAAAAATAAATAATTTGGTATTGCTTGTCATTTCTTAGAAGAAAAAAAGAGAAAACTAGAGGTTACTATCAATTAGATGAAACAATATTATTATGGATGATTACGTAAGAACTAATACCTACCACTAGCTACTAGATGAAACATTTTTAAGTCGTTTTAGTTTCATCTAATAACACAAATTTTGTACATAAGATTTTGATTAGTCGTCACACTTTATCTAATCATTTAAACCGCTAAAACTATGACTAACAGTCAACTGATATACCACTGGAAACCGATTTTAGCAAAGGTTAAGTTTATTATATATAATTATGCAAATAGTTCATATTCTTTATATTTTGCATAAAAATAACATCTAATATTTACTATATAGTACTCAATTATATTTTTTATCCTATATTTTATAACATAAATTGAATAATTAGTCAATTAGAGAAGGATTCAAGCGATCAAAAAGTTATATACCTTCCCAAAAATTAGGGTTGAAGAGTTCATGATCATTATCCATACGAGCATTGCATCATGATTGTGAACACATGGGATGTATAAAATCTTGTTATTCTTGGTTAATTTTGACAATGTTTCGTTGTCAAAATTGCCTACCACATTCAACGTCCAAATCAAAACTGTGTCAAACCAAACCGTAATTAAAATCGAAATAGAAATTATTTCAATTTGGTTTTATTGTAGACACACACCATACTGTTTTACGGTTAGCATTCCCCCCCCCACCCCACCCCACCCCACCTAGTTATTATATCTGCAAATGATTTGATTTGTAGTTATAAAAAGTATTTACACTAGGGAATAGGGACCGCTGAAATATGTACTGTAACTTAATATAATGAGTAATAGATTGATCTGCACCTTTGGATTACAATATTGACGGGTTATTTTCCTTGATCAGAGATTTCTCTTGATCCAGGCTTGATCTCTAAAGTCTATTTGTCCTACGTAAGAATGATTTATCAATCACTTAACTATATTATACTTAGATTGTTTTGGCTATATTCTCTTGATTATCCTTACCCAAGAGTCCACCGTCCATTTTTTCAGTCAAATACGCAAACTCTATATCCGATTAAATAGCCTCCCTGGCAGCCTCATGCACCCAAGGATCTCTTATCTTGGCATTAAGGGTATTGGACCTGATATCACGTGCTAGATCAGCCCAATGCTTCTCGAGAAACTTGACGGTGTTGTTGAAGCCAAAGACAAAAACCACGCCAACTCGAGTAACATCATTGCGCTGGCATATTCTACAAGCACTTAAGAGTAGAGACTCTGGAAATAGTCTTTGCATATAATGGACTGATCGGGGATTCTATTGTCAAAGTCTGAGGATTGTAAAAAACAGTTAAGAGAAAATGAGCTAACGGAGCACCTAGTGTCTTAGATTTTAGTTTGATGTGCATGAATTACATTGCTCCGCCTTTTTCAAAACAAGGATCGAATTGCCTCACCACAAGACCCAAAAAAGTGTAAATCATTGACCTTCTGCCTAGCTTCTCTTCTGTTATTGGCATCAGCTTCTCCTCCCTACGAGCACTACAAAGTAAGACTCATAAAAAAATGTTGAGAATTTCTTGTTTTCTTTCTTTTTGATGAAATTTTTTTAACTAACAGTGGCAAACCTAAGGAAGAAGGAGATTGGGTTACAACAGAATATTTGAGATGTTTTACTATTGGCTATCATGTTGATCTCGACATAAATGTCTTAGTAATTTACAACAAGAAGGAAAACCTCTTAGTATGTTCTTCTGTTGAGCCTCTGTCGAGTGAGATATACTCCACCTCAACATTTCTTCAGAATATCTTTTCAAGCACTTGTCTGATTGTCTCTGGGACACCATTAGTGGTTGAGGGTTATTTTCTAGGTGAATTAGAGCTTATCAAAAAACCTCAAAAGCTTTGATCTTTGGCACATCAATCATCTACATAAAGGGACGAATGAAATCTTCATAAAATGGTTTTAAATATCTAGGATTATAAGAGTGAAATCAGGACTGAAAATAAATTGACAAAATAGGATGTAGTTTCATTAATCTTTACAATCTCTGATTCATTAAAGTTAATAATCTATCGAATAATGAAAATATTATTTCAATCAGCAACATTGAATCGGAGGTACAATAAACTAAGCTGCATGGAATCGAAAGCGGAACCGCGGAACCGGAAGCGTTTGGAAGCAAGGAAGCGAATTTTTCAAAAATTTTAGGAAACGGGTACGTGTTGAAAGTGTATGGCTTAATGAGCTTGAAATATATTAAACAAATAATTAGTTTAATTAAATAATGATAAAAACGATAATAATGGCTTAATGGGCTTAAAATATATTAAGTCTAACAAAATTGTAATGACATGTCATCTTTTTCTTCTATAATTTTAATCAAAGTTTGTAGCAACGCTTTCAACCATGATGAACACGATTCAAACTTGGAATTGAATGATTCCTCAATGTTTCCAAACGGTAAAATTTTGGAATCGTGATTCTTCAACGATTCCGTGTGATTCCGATTCCGATTCTGATTCCGAAGCGGGAATCGTAACTTTCCGAGTAATTCCGATCATGAATCAAGATTCATGAATCAAGATTCTGATAGATCTAGTATTCGACAAAAACCTATAATGTAAACACGATTCATTTTTTAAATTCTGATCTGCATTTATTTCTCTCTCTCTTCTAACGATGTTTGTCTTATTTTCTTTCTATTTCATCCGTTAAATCGTCTCAACTTGAGATTCCCACATTTTCATTCTTCTTCATGTGACTTCTTAAGTTTCATTTCCTTATTACAGTCCAAACTGCATTTCGCAAAACACATTTAAAAGAAGAAGAAAAATACAAAAAAAAGGTGGTTAGAAATGATAGTATCAACGACTATGAAGTAAACAAAAGATAGTCCCTGTAAGGTATCTCCAAAGGCAACTTCAAATTTGAGGTTGGCTAAACCTCAAAATTGAGGTTTGATAGTGTTTGTTTCCAAAGGCAAAACTTCAAATCTAATCTCATAAAATTTAAAATATTACACTATATTCTTTAATTTTAATTATTATTGATAAAAATTATATAACTTTATAAATAATCGAAAACATACATAAAAAATATCAAAAAACTACAGAAACATTACATTATAAGATAAAATTACAGAAACATAATAATTAAAACACACAAACTAAATTATAAATGATTATTTTCACCAAATTATTCAACAAAACTATTTTCATAATGCTTTCAAATATGATCAATTTTAGTTTTTAATTTCAATTTTTAATTTTATTTTATATGAAAATATAAAATTTATAAAGATAAATGTAAAATATTCATAATAAACATAAAAAAATAAAGTAATTATTTATGATATATATAATTATAAGGACTAAAATGCAAGTAAAAAGCTGGAATCTCAAATTTGAGGTTTTGAACAGTGAAACCTCAAATATAAGGTTTTATTGTTCAAAACCTTAAAATTTGAGGTTCTAATGTTGCCTTTGGATTGAATAAAACCTTATATTTGAAGATTTGAGGTTGTTTTTGGAGATGCATTTAGCTCGAACTTCATAAATTTTGGTCAAAGGTAAATGCTCGAACCAAAAGGTATATAAATCTACTAAGAAATTGTTGTTGTTGTTAATGATCAACTTGCCATATGTCAATATTTGATTGCACCTAGTGACTTTATGTTTTTAAATAAAAAAAAATATACACAAATATACAATTAACCAGAAACGAATTCGAGGAAGGAAAATAAAACGCACAAAACAAAAACAAAAAAAACCGAGAAAACAAGCTTTTCCTTCTTCATCATGAATCAAGATTCCGATCATCCTCAGCTTCCCAACATCAAGATCCATCACCCTCCTTCACCTCGTCACTCTCACCACCACCACTCCTCTTCCACTCCCTCCTCCGCCGCAACCCCTACTCCCACCGCCGGAGCTCGCCGTAAGATCGGAGTCGCCGTCGATCTTTCCGACGAGAGCGCTTTCGCCGTCCGTTGGGCCGTTGATCACTACATCCGTCCCGGAGACGCCGTTGTTCTTCTCCACGTTTCACCTACCTCCGTCCTCTTCGGCGCCGATTGGGGACCTCTCCCTCTCAAAACCCTTGAAGACCCATCCGCTCAATCTCAGCAGCCTAGCCAGGAGGATTTCGATGCCTTCACTTCATCCAAAGTCGCCGATCTCGCCAAGCCCTTGAAGGAAAGTGGGTTTCCTTACAAGATCCATATAGTCAAGGACCACGACATGAGGGAAAGGTTGTGTCTTGAGATCGAGAGGCTTGGTCTCAGTGCTGTGATTATGGGAAGCAGAGGTTTTGGTGCTGAGAAGAAGAGTGGAAGTGATGGGAAGCTTGGCTCGGTTAGTGATTACTGTGTTCACCACTGTGTTTGTCCTGTAGTTGTGGTTAGATATCCTGATGATCGTGACGGGCCTGTGCCTGTTGTTACCGTCAAAAGTGGTGTGGATGATGATGATGACCTTGTTGAGGCTGCTAAGCCCGTTGCTCACCATGAACACATCAAAGGTAAGGAATTTATTCAAATAAATTAAAAAGGCTCTGCCTTTGTTTCAATGGATGTTCGGTTGCTATGTTAAATTAGGATCAGTACTCAGTGTTGTGATTTCTCTAGCACTTGAATATGTCAGTAAGACAATCATTGGTGTTAATCGTAGAACATTTAGCATTATAGTATGTTATGAGATTGAAGCTACTAAGCCCCTTGCTCATCATGAACACATCAAAGGTCAGGAATTTATTCAAATTATTGAAAAGCTCTGCCTTTGTTTCAATGGATGTTCGGTTGCTATTTTGATTAGGTTCAATACTCAGTGTTGTGATTTCTCTAGTCACTTAGAGTATGTTATGAGATTGAAGCTACCTGTGAGTTTGGTAGGAGGAATCTTAATGAATAATATGATATGGTAAAAAAAAGGCTGAAGGATCCATTTGCTTCTGCTTTATTAGTTCAGTGTTTCTCTGTTTTTGTGTATCTTCAAAACTTGAAATGGGTTTTGTGGAAAAAGGGTTATATGATATAAAGACGAAATAAAAATGTCTTGTTCCTCATTATCCTGTGTCTCTATCACAGATGAGTAACGCTTCCAGGGATCTGATCAGGTTCGCACTCTTTACAGCATCCAGGTAAAGATTGAAACAAACAAAACTCACATTAATCAAAACATTAGTACATATATTTGCTGATTTTCTTTCGATTCTTTGTTTTTGGAATTGAAAAGGTACACAAATCAAGTAGGAGCTGTAGCGGAATGGTCAGAGGAGTGTTTGTGTGTTCTATCCATCTTTAGCTATCACGATGTTTAGGAATTTCTCAGGGTTGTTTGGAATCTCTTGTTTCTCCATGTAGTGGTTTCTCAATTACACATGAAGAACTTTGTATGATTATTGATTTGTTTTCTCTTTTAGAAAGAAAAAAAAATTATGATGACAAACATCAATAAAAGACTGTTGGTTTACCCGTTTAGGTTTGTCCTGTTGTTGTGTGAGAGTGAATGTTAAGTCCATTTAGATTAGATCTGTCTAAAATCATCAAAATATGACTGGTATATCCGTATATGGTTTTGGTTTGGCTTCTTGGATTATAGATAAATGTTAAGGATTGAAGTTTATCTCAAAGGTGGATTTTAGAAAGTGTGAAATGAAACAAAATGTAACAACCAAAGAAACAGATATGTCATCTATTCCTTATGTAAATTATATAGTTTGTAAGACTTGCTTAGTTATTAGGTCTCCTTTCTTTAACGTGTGTAGATAGAGTTGATGCCATTCTTCTCCATTGAATCTAAAACTTTATATTGAAACTACCATATCTTTATTGTTATCACTTATCATAATTAACCATGTCTATACTACCATTGAATAAATTTTTATCTTATGCTAAATTAGATGATGTGCTAGACTTATTTTCATTTATTGCAATTTTTTGCTCATATTTTCCGTATATTGTGTTAATTAATGATGAAATTGTGCTAACAAATTAAAATGCATCTTAATAATAGAATCATTACGGAAGACCATTTCCAATGTATTCCTCTATTTTTTTACTCTAAAACAAAGGAACTTTATAATAGATGTGGGTTTCTCTCCAATATATTCCTTTATTTTTAATTCTAAAAATAAAATATTTTAAATATATTATATTTTTATTCAATTATTAACACCTCTATTTGTAAAAAAATTATAATTTAATCTCATTTGTTTTATTTTTTGCAAAATTTTCACACATTATGATAATTAAAATTTATTACCTCAAATAAAAAGGAAAAAACATAGTGAAATTTTTTTAAAATCACTATTACTATATTTTTATCTTGTCATTATTGTATTTAATCACTAGTCTATTTTGTCAAAATGAATAAAAGTATAATGTTTTATCAAATGTTGACTTTTTCTTTGAGGTATAATATATATGAAATTAACTTTGTTAAGTTTTATTGTTAAATTTAAATTTATATCATTTATATTATTTGTTTTAGCTATAAATAAAAAGATTTGAAACTTAAAGGATCATTTTATAAATAAAAAAGTTTAACTTTATTATAGAATAAGAAATAAAGTTCCTCTATATATAGAGCAAAAAATAGTATTTTTCTATTTTAAAGGCAAAAATAAAGTTGGGTTGGAGATGATTTTTTTCTAAAACAGCATTTAGAGTTAAAAATAAAGGTGGGTTAGAGATGCCCTAATGAGCAAACGTTATTATAGTATATGATAGAGTCTAAACCTGGATTTTATAATATAGAAAAAACGTGTTATTGATATTTATAACGAAAAGTCAAAAAGTAAGATTTTATTAAGGTTTGACCTTTGCCAACAAGCTCAAGCAACACTTGAAGACCAACTCGAGCCTTGAGAGTTAATCATCAAAATTTTTATTGAAACTACCATATCTTTATTGTTATCACTTATCATAATTAACCATGTCTATACTACCATTGAATCAATTTTTATCTTATGCTAAATTAGATGATGTGCTAGACTTATTTTCATTTCTTGCAAATTTTTTGCTCATTATTCCGTATATTGTGTTAATTAATGATGAAATTGTGCTAACAAATTAAAATGCATCTTAATAATAAAATCTTATGTAAAACCATCTTCAATGTATTCTTCTATTTTTACTCTAAAATAGAGGAACTCTATAATAGAGGTGGATTTCTCTCTAATGTATTCCTCTATTTTTAACTCTAAAAGTATAATATTTTAAATATATTATATTTTATTTTATTATTAACACCTTCTATTTGTAAAAAATTACAATTTAATCCCATTTGTTTTATTTTTTTGAAAAATTTTCACACATTATGATAATTAAAATTTATTACCTCAAATAAAAAGAAAAAAACATAGTAAATTTTGTTTAAAATCACTATTACTATATTTTTATCTTGTCACTATTGTATTTAATCACTGATCTATTTTTGTCAAAATGAATAAAAGTATAATTTTTTTATCAAATGTTGACTTTTTCTTTGAGGTATAATATATATGAAATTAACTTTGTTAAGTTTTATTGTTAAATTTGAATTTATATCATTTATATTATTAGTTTTAGCTATAAATAAAAAGATTTGAAACGTAAAGGATCATTTTATAAATAAAAAAGTTCAAATCTATTATAGAATAAGAAATAGAGTTCCTCTATATATAGAGGAAAAAATAGTATTTTTTTATTTTAGAGGCAAAAAATAAAATTAGGTTGGAGATGATTTTTCTTTAAAATAGCATTTAGAATTAAACATAGAGGTGGGTAGTAAACGTTATCGTGGTATATGATAGAGTATAAACCTGGATTTTATAATATAGAAAAAACGTGGTTATTGATATTTATAACGAAAAGTCGAAAAGTAAAGTTTTATTAAGGCTTGACCTTTGCCAACAACAAGCTCAAGCAGAGCCGTGCATTATGTGTTGGGAGTTAGGCATTAGCCTAAGGCCACCAAAAATTAAAAAATATTTAGGGCTACAATTTTATTAATTAGGTTCATATATATATAGTTAATTAATGAGATCAATATTATTGAGTTCTTGTTTAGAGAAAAGTTCATATACTAGTATTATTGTTATTAATATTTATTTTTATAGATATTCATAAATAAAAAAGATAAATAAAAAAGGAAATTTAACCAATTGAAATAAACATTATTAAAAAAGTTATCCCACATCGATATTCTAAAAGAGGAGGTATATAATTTTTCTTCAATAAATAGCAACATCATTATGAATCTTTTTGAGCTTAAAAATCTACGTTCAAAACAAAGTTTGGGTTTGATCGGAGCTATCGGTTTTAACTACAAATTCGCAAAATTTTTATTAGTTTTTTATATTTTATCTAGGGTTTTAAAAATCCGGTTTTAGTAGCTAATCTAAATCAGATTGTCAGTCGATTTTCGATTACACTTCACAAAATTGTTTGATTGGTGGTTAAACTCATTGACATCGGTCAATATGTTTGAAATAATATTTTTATAGTTTCAATTATTATTATTACGTTTCTGTATGTTTGAGATAATATTTTTATTCTAATCTTTTATAAGGGTCACATTTTTTTTAGTTCGCCTAAAGCCACGGCAGATCTAAACACAACACTGACCTCAAGCAACACTTGAAGACCAACTCTTGCTTCAAAGGAGAGAGAGGTCGAGCCTTCAGAGTTAATCATTATGCCGGAGAGGTCAGTTGATGCCCTTAGTTCAAAAAACCGGACTCTGCATACTGAATAGGTTCATACATGGATCTGGTTATGTGCAGCTTTTCTTGTACTTATGGTTGGTTTTTCTTTAAATGATGATTTCTGTTACAGGTTCTCTATGATACAAATGGGTTTTTGGAAAAGAACAGGGATCCGCTGCCTGCTGATCTTATCCATCTTTTGTCATCATGCGACTGCCAGTTGCTGAAACTGTTTTCTACTAAAATGCGTGACAAATCTCAGAAGCCGCTTATGTTATCAGACTCCACAGATCAAACTGTTGGGACGAAGTTTAGGGTAAGGAGGCTTGAATTATGCATTATTTTTGTTTTCAGTGACAGTCTTCCTTAACTCACATTGCATCTGCCATCTGTCATGATTAATTATCTCTTTCAGGGTCAACTTTTCAAGTTGATGAACAAGTTAGAGAACACAAGTCCCCACTTCATTAGATGCATAAAAACACTTATGTTATCAGAGTCCACAAATCAAACTGTTGGGACGAAGTTTAAGTGGAAATTTGGAGGTTTTTAGTGAAAAATTTCTTCAGTAAAAGTTAACTTGCAGTATATATATACTTCAATCTTAATCTTGAAATAAATATCTACACTATTTTGAAGCCGGCTTGAATGATCCATCTTTGGCAAGAGAAGCAGTGAGAACCACATATTTTCATTAATTAATTTCAAAATAATAAAATAGCTTTTCAGTGTTTTCAATAAATTAATTTAAATAAAGAAAATGGCTTGGTAAACCGACGCCGTCCACATCTCTAACTGACCATGAATTAATTTTGTTTTGTTATTTAATTTTATAATTAGATTTTACTATTCGCACGGAAATTTTTTTAAATCAAAATTTATAATATTATTTATGTTTTCTTTATAGATATAATTTTTTAATAAATGACAAAGATTTATTTTTGTATTCAGATATAATTTATTTTTTAATTTTTTCTACTATATTATGACCCTGATCATGAAAACATAATTCTAACCCGATCATTCTATTAATCGAAAAAAGATCATTATTATAAAAATATATTTTTAACTCACTCATTCTATTAATCCGGAAAAACTGTAGTTACTAAACCATAATTCTAATCCGTCTGTCATATTACTATATAATATAATTATTTACTAATTTTGATATAATATTTATCTTAATATCTTGCATGTTTTGAATATAAGACTGCAATTATAAAAAAAAAACTAATCCACCCCATCAAATTACCATATAATATTAATATTTATTAGTTTTTAATATGTGAAATTTTATTCTGATTGAATATGATTAAAAAATACAATAAGGTATTCTTTTAATCATATTTGTTTTTATAAAATATTATTTAAATTTTCAAATGTTAAATTAAATCTGATCTATAATTAAAGAAGTATAAAATAATTTAAATTAATATCACTTTTTAGAATTAAATTTAATTACAAAAATAGTTTGAATTTTAAATTAAATATGACATATATTTAAGGAAATCTTTAGTTATCTAAATTCATATCTAATTTTTGAATTTTTTTTATAGAAAAAAAAAATACGTTTTTAAATAATATTACAATAATTTAAGATAATTTTAAAACTGTTTCTCAAAATATTTTTTAAAAAAATTTGGGAATGTTTGGAAGCAAGTACTAAATGTGCTTCTGCTTTAATATAATAGATTTAGCGTACGAAGTAACAAACATTTGGGGGTCTACTCTATTGGATTAAGCATTATAAATAAATTTAAAAAGTTTTCTAAGATCCAGTATTATTGAATATTAAATATATAAATATTTTTAAAAATATATTATTATTGGAAAGAATTTAAGTATTAAGATTCTAATGATTTTTTAAAGGATTTTAGAGGATTTCTTAGTTAAAAATACAAAAATACAAAAATTATAGTTTTAGAGGTTTCAAAGAATTTTAAACCAAATTATAATAAATCCTGTAAAATCATCAAAATATAATTAAAATCAGTTTACTCCAAATATTAAGCTCAATACACCCTCCTTGGTCTCCCATTTCCTAACAAGTAACAAAACCACCTAAACGAAAAGATTGGGAAGTAAAAATCTATATTAATTAATATAAATACATTTTGAATCAATAGAGAATCATTTTTCTTTTTTTAGTTTCATACACTTTTTACAAATAAAGACTGACAGGCTCAAACGCTCTTGACAAATCAAATACCAAAAAACCAAAAAGAAAAAAAATAAAGGAGGACCCAATGGAATTTAATATCTTTCTTGTCTCCACAATTTTGTTCCTTCTTTTTCAGTGGTCTCAGTTAACAAAGCTAACGACCATTCATATGTTATGTACTCTTCTTCATCTGTCACCAATCAACATCACACAATATTTCATGTTGGTTTTGATTGATAACCCTTCTAATAATGGTAGTGGAACTACATAATATCTCATGTTCCAGGCCCTGCTCTGGTTTTATTGATAACATAATAAGCTTAAACGAATAAAATCAACATAGTTATAGATAGGTAGTAATAATACAAAAGCTTCAACAGCTAACCAAAAAAGTTCAACGAATACATTTGGTTGTTTTTTTAAATGTAAGCAAACTAAGCATTAAAAAAACTAACTCAACTCACTAAAAAGAGGTCTTGTTGTTAGTCATGAACGGTGGGGATTAACCTAATCGACTAAAGCTGAGGAATCATCAACGGCTGAGATCTCTGCTTTTGTTGGCGGTTGCAAAAACCCGAGAAGATGATGATGACGATGTATCACAGCCGTTTGATTTTCTCTCTCCTTGCAATGAGTTCATCGTAGCCCTTGATCCTGACGAGGTTTCATTCTTGGGGATTCGCTTCATTGGTCGACAAACATTTGATTCCTCCTACATTTTTTTCAAAAAATTGAAGCAATTAATTCAAGTTTCCAAAGTTTCTTGATTTAACTATGAAACTTAAAGAGAGAGAGAGAGATTCTTACATAGGAACAGTTAAGATCCAAATCCAGTCTCTTTCTTTTCACCACCAAAGCTCCGTCGCCGGAAAATGCTTCCTCGCCGCTGCTAACCGAAGACGATGAACTCACCACCGGAGATTGTTTCACCGCCGCCGCATCCAATGGCACCACCTGATTCTCCGCTTCTTCTTCCTCTTCTTCCTCTTCTTCTTCTTCATCGCTTTCCTCATCTTCCTCGTCGTCGTCGTAAGATTCTGCGCCGTCTTCTTCGCGATTATTGATCTCTTGGCTCATATTCTTGCGATGATTCTTACGAGCTACACAGGATTCGCAGATGGAAACAGTTGGACCGAGACGAAGACCGGAGGCTTTCCAAGGCGTAGGAGATTGACACGCGCTACAAAGAAGGCAGCGCGTGTGCTTAGCCACCAGAAAGTTAGCTCCGTGAACTTTACCGTCGCAGTCCCAGCATAAACTCGCCTGGTCTGACTCACAGAACATTCTCGCTACACCACTACACAGCTCACACTTCTTCTTCTCCATCTTCTCTATCTGTAAAAATCAATACTTTTTTGCTTCTAAAGAGTTTGATCCTTTCTCTCTCTCTTCTCTATCTGTAAAAATCAATACTTTGTTGCTTCTTAAGAGTTTGATCCTTAATCTCTCTTTCTCTCTCTCTCTCTCTTCTAGTTTCTTCTGCGGACAGAAATAAAGGAGCAAAATTGTATTTGAGAATTTCGTGGCGAGTTTTCTGTGATTTAAAATTCTTTGAGGGTATTTTTGTCTTTTTAGTTTCTATACACAACTGAAGATTTCGATTTTTCGCATATTTTATTATATTGTCTAACACTCATATCTGAAAACCACTAGGCAAGGAGTAACTACTTTTTTAATTATTTAACCTAAAATTAAGGATTTGTTCAAACTTGTAAACTTATGGTGGATAATTTGTGGATAACTAATGTGTTTTTTTTGTTTGAAAATTATTAGGCTTTGCGGCTGAGCATTATCCTTGAATTCTTAAATTTAGGAGAAATATATAAAAAATAGTATTAAGAAACCTTTTTTTATTTGCTTGGTCCTGAAACCACGTACGGGGACAAGGCCCTATGGTGACCCATCGTACGTTTCGATGTATGATTCGTTGTTTTGCTTCAACAGATATTTTTTGAGGTAGATTTTTTAGTCGGTGACGTGGCGAGATCTCAGCCCCGCAAAGAGGAGAGAAAGATTCTGAATTGTCCTACGTGGACGAATCAGGTTCTCAAAGAGACTCATAGCCACGTGATCCCACCTGGGATTTGTCCGGACCAAAAAAGAGTTTGTCTGGACCAAAATACACGTTTACTGGGGTCCACTAATTTTTATTTTTTATTTTCCCCTCTCGCCCTGGTCCAAGCATTTGTGTGAATAAGGTTTTCGATTTGTTTTGAAAAGATTAAAGTAGTAGATTTAATATCTTTATATTGTCTGGCTGACGATAGGATCATTATGATGACCCTAAAATCAACCTATTATTATGATTTAAAAAATGCATTTTGCTTTAGGGAAGTTTTTGGTGCCCATGGCCATAAATAAACCTATTTGCAACTTGATAGATGTTTGGTGTTTTAACTTTTAAATAGTCATCTGAATAAGAAGAACCTAATTCATCAATCACTCTTTCTCGTTCCATATCTTCCATATACCCTAAGCAATGTCTTTTCTATATTAAAAAAGTTTAAAACTAAAATCCAACCACAAATTTGATTTCACTTCATTGCTTAATATTTGATATATATTATATGCATGAATCAGGAAAATGTAAAAGATGTGAAACCGTGTAACTATCCCAGTCAGATTAAAAAGAGTGTTTGGGAATATCTATGGTACCAACTTATTTGCGATGAACAATTTTACTTAACGTTATATTAGTGGTGGATCCAGAAATTTTTTTTTACCAGAATCATATAAACAACTGATGAAACCAAAACTAGCCTAAAAATTTAAAAGAGAAAAAAATTATTTGTACACTATTTTTAAAAATAATTTTTGGTTTTGTTGAGATAGAGTATTTTAATTATAGAACATATATTTTTCATGAAATATATATTTTAATAAAAAAAATCTTTTGTTATTCATTAAATAAAAATAAAAAGAATAAGAAAATAATAAATTAATCATAATAAATTATACAATAAGTTTAAACTTTGGACTATAACCCAATTAAAATAAATTAATGTAAAAATTTGAATTAATGAGATGATAAATAAGTGTTAAACGTTTTTAAGAGGTCGATATTTAATTTTTTCAACAAAAATAGCCACAAACTACTGAAATAATTTTAATTTTCCAAATATAACCGATGTCACCTAAAATTCTTTCATCTCAAGTAGGTCTGCCACTGCCTCATAATATCCTAAAGTTTGTCAACCGATTTATCTAAAAGTATAAAAGAATTTTGAGAGACACTAATTTCCAAAATATCTATTCATGGTTAGTTAGATCCATGAAAACCGATTATTCTGTTAAAATAGGATGATATATCACAAACGTAGCTCAAGCGAATGGTAAGTACAGTAAAGTGAATGGTAAGTACAGTAAGTACAGTAAAGTGAATGGTAAGTACAGTAAGTACAGTACAGTAAATATCCAAGGGTGGTATGTTATTGCTTAGAGAGATCCTGATTTCATTTAGGCGTTGTTCGTTTTTTTATCTAGATGCTGCATCGAGATTTTGCATTTAGATCAGCATTTAGATACAATATCTAGATATTATTTGTTTTTGAAACTAGGTTTTGCATCGAGATGCTACGTCTAGATACTAAATTGTTCGTTTGTGAATTTAGAAAAAAAGTTGGATGCAAAATATATAAAATGACTAAAAAGAATTATTATTTTTTAATAAATAATATTTTTATCAAATTAAGTTTTAAAAATACATGAAATTTTGTTTTTTTGCATTTTTGTGAGAAAACATGATTTTTTATACTTGATGGGAATTTTTTTTACTAGGATTTTGAGTTTTTGACGGAAAATAAAGATATTGTGTTTTTGGCAGGAAATCGAGATTTTATGTTTTCGGCGAGAAACCAAGAGTTTTCGTTTTTAATGGAAAATCGAGATTTTACGTTTTTGGCGAGAAATTGAAATTTTGCGTTTGGCGAGAAACCGAGATTATTTCTTTTTTAGCGAGAAATCGAGATTTTGCGTTTTTGGCGAGAAATCGAGATTTTGCGTTTTCGACGGAAAAGCGAAAGTTTTTTGTTTTTGGCGGAAAATCAAGATTTTGCGTTTTTGGTGAGAAACCGAGAGTTTTCGTTTTTGGCGGAAAATCGAGATTTTGTATTTTTGGCGATAAACCTAGATTTTTCATTTTTTATGGGAAATCGAGATTTTGTGTTTTTGGCGGGAAATCAAGATTTGCGTTTTCGCGGGAAAGCGAGAGTTTTTCGTTTTGGCGGAAAATCGAGATTTTTCGTTTTTGGCGAGAAATCGAGATTTTGCGTTTTTGACGAAAAACCGAGATTTTGCGTTTTTGGTGAGAAACCGAAAGTTTTCGCTTTTGGCGAGAAACCTAGAGTTTTTGCTTTTAGGGGAAAATCGAGATTTTGTTTATTGGCGAAAAACCTAGTTTTTTGGTGAAAAACTTAGATTTTTCGTTTTTGGCGGAAAATCGAAATTTTGCTCTTTTGGTGAAAAATCGAGATTTTTGCGTTTTTCGTCGAGAAACTGAGATTTTTCTTTTTTTGGCGAGAAATCGAGATTTTACGTTTTTGGCGAGAAACTGACATTTTTTGTTTTTGGCGGAAAATCGAGATTTTTTGTTTTCGGCGAAAAATCGAAATTTTGCATTTTTGGCAAGAAACCGAGAGTATTCGTTTTTGGCGAGAAATCGAGATTTTGCGTTTTTGACGAAAAACCGAGATTTTTCGTCTTTGGCGGGAAACGGAGAGTTTTTGTTTTTGGTGAAAAACCAAAAATTAACATTTTGGTGGAAAATCAAGATTTTTCATTTTTTACATGAACCAGATGCAAACGCTGCATCTGAACTCTCTATTTCTCAGCATCTATAGTATTAAGATTTTTGAGATGCTAATCAATTTGCATCTAAATGCTGCATCTGAACACAAATTTATTTTTGAAAAAACGAACAATATTTGGACATTTGCAGCTAGATGCAGCATCCAGATACAAAAACGGGGCTTAGTGATTTGGGGTCGAATTTGAGTTTGTTTGGAAAGAATTTAATTATGTTCAATGAAATTATCACGAAATATTATAATCACATAAAGACGAGAGTCAGAAATATCCTGAGTAATGGATCTAAATTAATACATGTTATTATAAACTTTTTCTTGGCAAACATATGTTATTATAAACTATTATATATAGATAATCTATTCAATTTATGGAGGGAGCATCTGACTAAAACAAATATAGTGAAATATCTTCCTTATTCTCTTCATAATTACACCATGTTTGTTTTGTGGATCTAACGTGTTCGGAATAACGTCTTATCACGAAATCATGACCAAGAGTTGAAAATATAGATATGGATTCATAATGAATTGAATGAAAATAATATGTAAAGTGTAAACTAAAAAAAAGAAAAAAAAGGTAAAGTTGTGCCTACGTAACATGCTTGGAAATTTTTTTACGTGGCGAAGATTAGTGGTGTGAAGTGTGAAGTATCATTCAAAGGAACACGAGATGTCTTCATTTGTGAGCCACATGCCTTTACATTAAAGGAGATGACGAGTGGAGGAGTTTAGGATCTCAGGGTTTACTTTGTTTTTTCTTTGTTTTTATTTTTAAATGTGTGTGGATGAGAACTTTGGAGCAAGTTAGAAGAAGCCTCGGTTCCAGACACACATGTCTCACAAATTACTCCTTTCTTTCATTGTTCCTTTTCCTTAATGTTTTCTCCCCAAGTTTTTATTTTTGTAAAGATTTATTTAAAGAAATGCAAATTATGTCAAATTTAAGTTGTTAAATTGCGTACATCCCTCCTCTGACTCTCCAGGGTGAAGCAAACATAATCACAAACCAAAGTCTCAACCAACTGTGATATATTTGATTTTTGAATTTCTCTGACTAATCAAAAAATTTCTATCAAGCAACATACAAACCTCAATTTTTTATAACGCCTGCTTGAATTGTTACAAAGAATGATAGAGAACCAGATCATCAAACATAAAAGAGAAGAGATGAAACAACATAAATGCCAAAAAAGGGAAACAAGAGGAAAAAAATCTGAGAACAATCTATCACCATTGAACTCAGCCAAAAGCATAATCACAAACCAAAGCCACAAACTAGAACCAAGAGCCAAGGCTGAATTCAGGGAACAATTCTTTTTGTGTATTGCTTTTCTGCATTCATTCTTATTTCTGTAAATCACGAGTAAGAGAGTTTTTATAAAGGATGTATTTCAATCGGTTCTTGCGAAAATCTGTATATTTTTTTGTTGTCAACACGGTTCTTGCTCAAATCAGAAATTGAATTTAAATTTCTCTTTTCCTTATAACAGAATCTATAAGTTATTGTCATTAACGGAAGAGGGACGTTTTACTTTTCCCTATTGATTCAATAACCAAAGTAAAATCAAATTTAATATGAATGGTTTGGTATAGTTTTGGTGTTGAATCATAGTCTAGTTATAATTAAACATGTTAATTTTTAAAGGAGTTAAGTTTTAGTTCAAATGTTTGTTTAACTATTCAAATTTGAATTCCATTTTGATTTGCGCAAATAAAAAAGCAAACAAATTAATTTACAGATTTGGTTTGATTCAGTTCTCGATTCCATTTAACTCAAAATTAAATTTCATAAAACATCAAGTCTTTGCTCAATCACTAGCTCCTATTATCAATCGTAAATTCGTAACGTGCCTTATGTAACCTATTTTTGTATTTTCTTATTTACAATTGAATTTTTTTTCCTTTATTGTTTAAAATTTCCATTTCGTCTCTTTCCTTTCCTTAAAAGTATTTGTGAAACGTTTTAAAAAAAAAAAGAACTAAAAAAGGATTAACACGATTCAATATGTCAAATAATCATATCGCCCCACTCTACCAAAAAAATAATTCGCAGCTAGTTCTAAATTAGGGTTCATTCATGAGTCGTAGCATCTGCCAAAATAGGGTTTTTACTTTTAATTGATGTCGCAAAAGGGCACAATAACTCAATCAATCCATTGAAGATCGATAGCTAAATCGAGGAAATCGAAAATTAGCTAGGGTTTATCAGATTTTAGGAGAGTTTGATGGGTATCGTTGCTTCCAAGGGGGATAACAACACTCCATTGTTGAATCTGTGTAAAGAGAGGAAAGAATTGATCAGAGCAGTGAGAGATGCTCGTTATCACTTATCGAAATCTCACCTTCTTTATTTTCGATCTCTCTCAGATTTCAGCAACGCTCTTAACCAGTTCGTGCATAAAGATCTGGTCGTGATTCCATATTCATCGGACGACGATTCGTCTAGCAGTGAGCTGAAGTGTTGTGGATCAGACTCTGATTCAGACTCTGATTCCGATTGTTTAGTCTGTGATCGATCTCAAACTGGTCCGTTGAGCAACAATGACGATCAGAATCAGCCTAAACCGGCGTCTGGAGGTCAAGCTTGCGAGTCAAGCAACAATGTTCAAGAGGGTATGGAGAAGCCAAGTGAAGGTTTAGGGTTTGTGGAGAATGAGTTCTTGAGTGTTCCAGTTGAAGATTCCAAGAACTGTTCTTCTATTGGTCATCAGCAGCAGAACCGTTTCATGGGTCCGGATATATTCGGTTTGTACGATTACGGAGATAACACGCAGAGCTTTTTCATTGAACCGGATCAGAGAGATGATGAGGATGATGAGAGTGATGCATGGAGAGAAGTTAGGGAGAGAGAAGGGATTCCTGATTTGGAACCTGATAGTGATTATCATGATAGTCTTGTTAGGAAGAATCAAAAGAAGACCAAGAAGAAGAAGAAGAAGGTTAAAGAATCTTCTTCAGTTGCTAAGCTTGGAGGGGAAGATGATGATAAGAGAGAGATGAAGTGTGATGTTAAAGAAAGCTCTTCGATTGGTAACGTTTCAGGGGAAGTTGAGAGTAATGTTGAAGCAAACACTTGTAATGGTCAAGTTTCAGGTGAGGCTAATGATTCTAATGAAGCTTGCGCGCAAGAGACTGAAAAAACTCCAGAGGTTGTTACTGAAGTGACAAGATCAGATGAAGAAGTTTGTGATGAGTCTTCTTCTTCGGAGACATCATGTTCGGGCTTGAATGATCTAAGGAATGTAGTAGAAAAGATCAATTGTATATGCAAGAAAGCTGTGAGTTATAGTGGAGTCTCTGAGTTGCTTGAAGTGAGTAAAGTTGTTCATCATCAACCATTAGGGTCACAATTGAAGGGATTTGCTTCAAGGGTACTTGGTAGTTCCAAGAATTCGACTCGTGATTCGCTGTCAAGGCGTGGTTTACGCGAAGAGAATCTCGCTGTTTCGCTCTCCGTGACATTAGAGAAGCTTTATATGTGGGAAACAAAGCTTTACGCTGAAGTTACAGTCGAAGAAAAGCTTAGGGTTTTGTATGACAAAGGGTACAAGATCCTGAAGAGTCTTGATCAAAACGGAGCAGAATCGAGAGACATTTACGAGGCAGAAGCTATGGTTAAACTCCATTTATCAAGGGTTAATGTTTCGGTTAGAGCGGTTGAATCGGTTTCCATGAGAATTCATACGATAAGAGACGAGGAGCTTACTGTTCAGGTGATTGAGATGATCAATGGATTCAAAGAAATGTGGAGATTCTTGGCGAAGTGTCACCATAAGCAGTTTCTTGCGATCTCGAGAAGCAAGTCTTGTGTTCACATCGTTGAAAAAGGATCGAGCTCGAGGAAAGCGACGCACAAGGTCGAAGAAAATATAAGAAGATTCAGAGAATCTTTGAGAGGCTACATCGATGCACACAGAGGTTTCGTTAGGCTCTTGAACGAGTGGCTTAACCGAAACATCATGGAGGAGGACGACCAAACAGAGATCGAGGCTCCTAAGATATTTAGGGTTTGTAGCGAGTGGTTGAGAGAAATTGAGAATGTGGATGAGACTAAGCTGTTGAGTGTTGTTGAAGAAATGGAATCGAGATTTCGTGGTCTAGGGCTTAAGCAAGTAGAGGAAGAGAAACAAAGGATGAGAACAGAGAGATTGTGTAAGGAGTTGGAGAGGCAGACGAAGGAAGCGGAAGAGATTTTGGGAACGGCGGTGGTTTTTCCGGCAAGTGATTCTACGCCGACGGAGGAGATGATGATTGGGCCGGAATTGTTGTCTTTGAGAGAAAGTGTGACGCAAGAAAGGGAAAAGCATGAGAGAGTGATGATGGAGTTAAACGACAACGTATCGATGACTTTGCAAGAGCGTCTGGTTCCTGTCTTTGAGGCTTTGGAGGAATTTTGTTTTAGTAATTTTAACGCATATCAGAACATTAGAATCGTTTCGACAGAAGAAACTCTATTATTGTGTCAACAATAGAAAAAAATATGTAAAGAAAGAAAAAAAAAAGAGAAAATAAAGAAGTTCATGTCTTGATGATGCCAGATTTCGTTTATAAAAAAATCGACTATGTATATAATTGTAATTACAATATACTTCCATCTTAAGAGCCTTCTCGTTTCCTAGAAAGCGCCGGTTATTTCCGGTTCTTGATCATGAAGAGTCTATGGTTAGTAGCAAGAACGAATAAGATAATCATAAGAGAATTTGCATATGACAAGTCAATGCTATTTTTTAATGTGTAAATTAAGTCTTGGGGAATATAAATTGAATATTTACTAACAAAAGATCTGATCAACAAGATATTAGTTGATTTGAATCTTGATCTTGTTGGTCAAAATTAACTAAAAATTGATGAACTGACCAATTCAATAATCAAGATTCAGTGTTCTTTCTACGAACCCGGTTCATTCATGCATTCGTTTGATTTATATTTTAATCTGAGGAAAGAAAGAAAAAAAAAACCATTATTGGACGGAGATGTTGAGTAAATTATGGATAATGGCAATAGTTATATCCAATGAGGAAGAGATTTGGTTGGATAATTCTAGAGAGTAATAATAAAAATATAAGGCATGCAGTAGAACGGGCAGACCAAGTGTAATATTCTGTCTACCACATATATCTAAGTTTCAATCAAGATGTTAACAGGCTAATGTCTTCCAATAAGCGACAAAAATCTTGATTAATAATTTATTATCGCACCCAAAATAAATAAAGTAATAATCCTTATGAACTTAATTTGTGAACGTGATATTTTCGAGACTTTTGCGACCTACCTACGTCGATGGAAAATAACTCACTCAGTGTCTCAGTTTGCTTTACCTGGTAACATTTATGCTGTGATGGCGATCGACTGATTGGTATTGTTTCTCTAGAGATTATTAATCAATCAAAGAAAAATATTAGGAAAAAAGGGTAAGGCGAAGAGGCAAGAAAAACTCGAAAACAATTGGTATATAAAGATGTTTGTTTTTTCCTCTAAACTATTGTTTTCTCCTAAGGTCTGATTTGTTTTGGGTTAATGCATTTTTCATTCTGAGATACGCAAGTACGCAATCCATGAAACGTTTTTTTGCAATTATGATGTTTAGACAAAAAAGTCGATGTCTTATTTGTCTAGAGCTTGACCAAAATTTATATTTATATGGTTAGTGTCTCCTTAACCAAAATTCAAATACTATGATATCAAATGCTCTATTCTCTTCTACTTTTTCGTTTTGTTTTAGTTACCAATCGAACTTAAAAAAACAAATGTACAATAAGCAAAATCCTATTCTCTCAATTGATCGGTGTTTCAACTCTAGACTACGAAATGAAAACAGAAAACATAACTCTAAGTGTTTCCAAAATGAAATTCTACACACAACAAAGCTAAATTATCCAAATCTCGCGTATTTTCAGCGTGATGAATAAAAAAAAAAAATTAAAACTTTCCTTGATCAATGGAATCTCATGTCACTTGCCTAAGAAAGTCATAGAAAATTCACAACTTTTATTTTCCATAAAAAGAAACAGACGAATGTACCCTCGAGCTGTCTTGGCTTTTCAGTTTTCACACTCTGTACCTCCCGTGTGAACAGTCACATCCCCGATTGAAAAAGACATTTATACCCTTAAGCAAGCTTCCAAGAAGAAACCAAAACAAAAAAGAAAAAAAAAAGAGCTTCCTTCGCCATTACCTGTAGCTTAGTTGGCTTCCATGGATGTTCCTTCTAGGAAATCCCAAATTCTCTTCCTTTATATATAAAAATCAACTCACATTTCGATTTCAACAAAACCCATCTCTCAAAATCATCAATTTCTCTCAATTTCAATTTTCCCAGCTCAAATGGTGTATCCTAAACAAAACCCAGAACCCAATTTCCACGATTTCTTCCCGGCGATGGCCGGAAAACTCGGAGGAGAAGGTCTAATCGAAGAGCTCTGCAAAGGTTTCGAGCTTCTGATGGATGGAGACAAAGGAGTCATCACTTTCGAGAGCTTACGGCGAAACGCATCGGCGGTTCTCGGGCTCGGAGATCTGACGGACGACGATGTCCGGTGCATGATCGACGAAGGGGATTTCGATCGAGACGGTGCGTTGAATCAGATGGAGTTTTGTGTGCTCATGTTTAGGCTTAGCCCTGAGTTGATGGAAGCGTCACGGTGCGTTGTCACGGAGGCGATAGAGGAGGAGTTTGGTGTTGATCGAAAGCACCGGCATTGATGCAGAAACCTTCTTTGTTGGGCAGAGACTTTGACTGATTTGTTTTTTCAAACTTTAACAAATTGTATCGGTTGTTGCGGTTCGTATAAATTGTTGGATTATTATAAGAGAAACTGATGTGGAAGATCATTGTGAACCAAGACGAAATATACTAAAGGAAAATTCAATTCTTCACCTTTTTTTTTTCTGAAGGCGATTCGGATGATTTAGTCTAGGCTTCGAGTTTCGAATGTTGATAAATTGATAAATATTCTGAGTGAAAACAATATAAAATAAAAATGCAACAAATTAAGCGATTTGTTTTTGACAAAAGAAAACCACTCGTAGTTTTCAAATCGGTAAATTTATCCATGCTTTTCGATATTTTTTTTCTATTTTTGATACCGTGTTAAGTTGACTACATTTTAACTTAAAACCATTTAGTAACGATCTGATTACTCATACTCCATTATGCTTTAGTTTTACTTTCATATGAAGATGATACTTTTTTGGTCCATCAAAAGTCATTTTAAAAAAAAGGTTTTAAGGAACTTTTAATTCAAGTTTATCAGGAATGCGAGGATTGATTCATATATATACTTATATATTACTTTGAGTTTTTTTGTCGGAAAAAAAAATATTACTTTGAGTTTTTTTTTTGTATGAAATTTGTAACATGCTCATTCGAATCAGTATATCTCGAACATAGTCCTATAATTGCATGGACAATATACTCATACCAGAATATATACAGGATTAACTTTATTATAGTATCATACTACGTACTTACATTGGTCTTACATAGATAGATTATAGGGACTTTTTTTTTTCATCTATCTTTATTATTTTTTTCTAAACCAAGTTACATAAACAACAATACATAACATAGTAAAATTACAAGTAATAAACAACAATAATACATAAAATAGTAAAAATACAAGCAATAAACAACAAAAGTGAAATTTGACGATTTTCTGTTAGAAAAGTTTCACTTGTTGAAAGAATGTTCACACTTTCCTTTTTTTTTTTTTGGTAAAAGGTTATATTTGATACCATTTTTGATTTTTTACAGAATACGGAGATACAACAAAGAAAGAGGAGCAATCAAAACTACAGAAAATAACGAAAACAACAAGATTGAAACAGAAACGCAAAAGAGAATGAATCCGGTTACAGAACATGAAAGTTAAATACCAAGCCAATCAAGAGGAAAAATCAATCACACGCTAAGAAAAGCATGGACCATCTTGTTTTTTCCGCAACTTAAAGAGTTGGAGTTCTCATCGTTGTTGCCACGAGCCTTCTCCCAAGGCCCGTCCTCTAAATCTCTAGAAGAAGAGCCTACAGCTTCTCCGAAAACAAACAAAATCTCTGGAAGTATTATGAATCAACTGGCAATTGGCGACAAGGAAATCCGACGGGCTATCGGAGCGTCACCTCCGACCACCATTCCCGCAGACCAAAATCTCGAAGGGAATCAACTCCCACAATTGTACGGTAGCTGCAACAACATTCCAGCGCCTCTATTTCTCCACCTGATTTGCTCCACCGTCTACACCAACCTACAGCTGGAGCTATCTGCAACCGAAAACCAAAAAACCCTAACGAAAACCTGCTAACCGAGCTATCTGCACACTTTCCTTCTTTATATTTGCATTCGATTATAGGGACTTTATGTCTCGTTTTACTTGAAATGGGGAATACATAGTACAAACAACAAACATTCAACTAAAATATTATTAACATATAGTATCATGAAAACTCCCCCATTCTTATGAAATTTATTTTTCTACTTATTATTACGTATATACTCTCTTCTTTGTTTTTTTTAACCTTACTCTCTTCTTTCTTCATACTAAGAGAGTCTTAAGATATAGTACTAACGATTGCACATTGACTTTATACATTACAGACCTAGCACTCTATAGATTATAATTTTAGGTTTTGTCGAATCTGACTTGAAATCGAAGTAACTCTCGAGAATCGAGTTTACTATTTACCTGTTTTTGATTTCCAGCAAAAAGTAAAAAATTAAAACCCGCATATAAAATAAATATGGAAGGTAAACAATAAAACCTTTGTAGCAAACCTATAAACACATGATACACATCACTCATCGAAGTCCACATATAATTATTAGATCTCTCTGAGTGTATTTTCAACTTTCAACAGCCTGATCATATAATTCTACTTTTTCATTAGTTAATTTTATTTTATAAAGCAAATATGGTTGCACCTTGCGAATGATTCATCATGTAGGCTATTGCGTGTAGCCATGCAGTTCCTGTGATCCTGCGAAAAAAGATCAAATCATGCATGTATGTATGTTAAGGGACACTTGGTCAATAAAGCTATAAAAACCGATTACTTCGTTCACACGAAATATGAGCAGATTTAGGGGTGAATTGTAAAATTATGAAAGTAATGGGGGTGAAAAAGCGAAGCATCCTTAAAAAACAAGCCACCTTTGCATTTTATCATTATCTTTTGTCTTAAATTGTTTTAACATCATATTTTCTTTTCTTTTTCTTTTGTATGTATAATTTTATTATTTTGATATTTATCACGTAGTTCTTGGAAAGAAATGTCGTTGAGCGTCGCTTTCTCTTGATTACAACGAAGGTTTCTGTAATTTTAAGGGATATATCAAATATTGATCCAACATATATAAGGTTCTAATAGCCAGGTGACCAGGTCCACATACATGTAAATGTAATTAATGTATAACACCAATTTTGTAGACGGATTGTCCTAGATCGGATTCTAAATAATTAGCGTGTTAACCTACTGCTATCTTCTATGATCAACATCCATATACAACAGTTTTTTATTTTTACGTTATAGATACTCGTTGTATTTTATTTCATTAAATAACGATGGTATTTAATTGATGACAACTCTGCACTATTCTAGAAAACATTCAAAGACTTAAACTAACTAAATAACAAATTAAGCCGATTGTTCCTCTAAAAAAATTTATAACTAAATAACAAATTAAGCCGATTGTTCCTCTAAAATTTTTTACCAAAAAAAACTTAAGCGGAACCAATCCATTGTTCTTTATATCCATAGATAGATATTCGACATTTTTCAAGCAGTTGGAAATGAAATACTCGAGTGCTAAATCCATAATTATTGAAATGAAGAAAAAAAATGCATTCGATGCTAATTTGATAGGATGACGGGTCAAAATCACGGCTAATTTATTGAGTTTATCTTGTATCATCGTCTAAATTTATTTATTCCGTCGTCCAAGAGCTATTTTTTTCTTTCTGTCGTCTAAAATGCACAGTCGTAGTTTTATGCGTTTTCTGAAGAAAATTAAAAGTGAAAAAAGAACAAAAAACAATAATGACGAGAGTGATGATGCAAGGGCTTGAAGTCAGAATCTTGATTGGATCAAGAGCCGTCGAGAAACAGATCCAATGGTTAGATTGTCTTCGTCTTCGTCGATAAAAAATCGAACGGGCAAGATTTCTTGACCCTACACTCGGTCAATTTAGTACCTACTTGGTTGTCTGCATCGGGCTCGGATCATATTCGTTGACTTGTTCACTTTCACAATTTCAATCCACAAATATCTCATCGATAGATTCTAAAACGTTATGATTTCAAATTAGTTGTGAAGTGTGATGACTCTATATTTGATGTAACAAAAATGAGGATTGAGTGATTGGAATGGTAAAAAATAAACCATAAAATGGTTGATAAATATAAACAATAAACTTCTTTTAAATGTATTTATACGTCTTAAAACGAATCAAACAGTGGAAGTTCATTGGTCTAATGGTTTAAGAGACTGATGCTTTTCTAATATCAAATTTGGAGTTTTATTTTAGCTAATATATAACCAATCTTAAAAATTTATTGAAAGTTATAGCATTGCAAATAAAATTGTTGTTGTGATGTTTTGTATTACGGATAACATCAGTTAGTGATTTAAGAATGTGTTGCATGGAAATTTTTTCTTTATGGAATTGTTCATCGTGATTAAATTCCAGCGTGATCGCATATAGTTAGATTCGATCAATACATAATCGAATACTATATCTTTATGAAATGATGCAATCAACGATAAGAAAAAAAAACACTGATTTTTTCTAAATATGCAAATTGATTGAAATACAATTCGTTTCTATAAAAGAAAATATTTGTATGTTTTTTAATGCTACTAGTTATCTATTACCTTAAACATGTTAGTCACTAATAATACATGTAAACTTGAGATCTGAACTTGACTTTGCAAACTTTTAAATAATTTTAAACAAGCTACCACTTTGTGTAAGATTGATTCGTAATTTAATCATATACAACTTGAAAGATAAACACTATTTTTAGAGAAGATTTCTTCTAGAGAAAACAAGTAAGCAGAAAGCCCCTCTTTCTTCTGTAAATACTTCAAAATTAAAAACAGTTTTGAGGGGAAAAAACGAACATGATGATGATGATGATGAGCGTGACAGCAACATATCATCATTATGATGTTATTTTAATCATTTTAATCTTAAAATAAAACCAAAGTTTTAATTTTCCGCACCAACCCCACTTTTCTTTATTACGTCCAATACCAAGCAGGTAACGGAACGACGGTGTTTTGAATTGACCACGTCTAACCCCTGCAATATCCGTCAAACTCAAAATTGCCCCACTAGTTTTGTTTCTTTCAATTGTTAGCTATAATCAGCACAAGAAAGGAATCACATGATTGATCTTTTTGTGGTTTTCCATTAGTTTTTACCAAAAATATGAATATGAAAAATATTAATTTGTGTATAAAAGTTTCGAGGTTGTGCAAATATAATTTTTTATAACTCAAATGTTTTTTTTTCAATATTTTTTCCAAATAGTTTTTACCTTTTAGAGTAAGGACGCATCATGACTAATCTGTTAAAAAAACCATTAATAGGTGGTTCAATATAAAATAGAAACAAACTATGGGGTGAGATTTAATTTGACCAAATATATAGGGTGTTGAAGTTGATGGAATCTGGAAAAGTAAAAAAAAAGTTTCGGAAAAGGATAAAGAACCCAGATCATCTTCGACCTCTATAAATACGCTTTCTGCATCTTCGGATCGTTGAACATTTATATAATCTATATCCTAAAAAGAACATTTCAGAAAGAAAGCTTCTCCAGAGAAACGAGCATACTATTTCTATGGCGACTAAAGTGTATATCGTGTATGTAACATTTCTATTTTTTTGGGGATTATCGAGCTAAAATCTTAATTCTTTTTCTGATCTACTGTAGCGACTTGACTTGATTTTTAAATCAGTGTTGATCGAAGAATTTTTTTTTGGATTGATTGATTTCTCGCCGATGATTGTTTTTTATCTTACTACTATTACTTGTTTTTGCTGTTCAGTGATTGTATTTCTTCCTATTCGATTCGTCTTCTAGGGCGATGCTGATTATCGGGATTTCGCAATTTGCGATAGTTTGATTTATGATTTTGCTTGAAACTCTACTTTTGGGGAAGAAGAAGTTCGCCTATTTGTTGTTTCATTGATCTTTCGATTCAATTATTGATCTCTGATACTGAAGTTTTGTCAATATGAGATTGTGATTTTAGCTAATTGTATTGCTTGTTGGGTTTGATCTCAAATTGACTCTTAGTCTCTTGACATTTGCAGGTACTACTCTATGTACGGTCATGTGGAGAAATTGGCTGAAGAAATAAGGAAAGGAGCTGCTTCTGTTGAAGGCGTTGAAGCCAAACTATGGCAGGTGAATTGCGTTACTACTTAGTTCTGTAACTCTGTTGATGAGCTACTTTCATTCTTCATGGCTTTGCATTGTCAATTTCACAAGCAGAAAGTGACTCTTTATGTTTCAGTGAGAAGCTATGTTAAGGGATATAAGTGGCTACAAAGTTTTTAACACTAGGATTTGAGTCTAAAAGTTGTTTGGATATCTAGAAAGGAAGGAGGATAAGACTTTTCTAACATTTGCTTCCAGTATTCTTAGGACCATTGCCATTTCCATGTTTCTTGATTTTGGATTCTTGACTCATGATATCCTTAGCTTAGCAAGTTTTCAGTATCAAATAGATACTAATTTTGTCTGGCTTTTTTAGTTGGTGTTTGTGGCACTGTATTTTCTGCTTCACTGACTTGATTTGCCTAAAAGGGCAAGTTTCTTTTTTGGACTCTGCTTAACGAGATTTGGGATGTTTATATTCTTGCTGCAAGTTCCTTCACAAATAACCTGTGTTGCAGTTTAGTTAGCATGTTGTGTGACACAGGAATATCCAAAATCACAAGATACCATTAGGCTTAGCTATACAAATCTAATGTGAATCATTGAACCTGATGAATTTTGTTGTCCACAGGTACCCGAGACGCTTCCAGAAGAAGCACTCTCTAAGATGAGCGCACCACCAAAGAGCGAATCACCAATCATCACTCCAAACGAGCTAACTGAAGCGGATGGGTTTGTGTTTGGATTCCCAACAAGGTTTGGTATGATGGCTGCTCAGTTCAAAGCCTTCTTGGACGCAACCGGTGGACTCTGGAGGACTCAGTCACTCGCCGGTAAACCAGCTGGTATCTTCTACAGCACTGGCTCTCAAGGTGGTGGCCAAGAAACCACCGCGTAAGTTCTCATCAAGAAACAAACACTCCACATCCATCTCCTTGCCTAGATATGTATTAACTTGAAAAAACGTTTTTGTTGGTTAAATCTATAGATTGACGGCGATAACTCAGCTGGTGCACCACGGGATGGTGTTTGTCCCTATCGGTTACACATTTGGTGCGGGAATGTTCGAGATGGAGAAAGTGAAAGGTGGAAGCCCATATGGAGCTGGAACATTTGCAGGAGACGGTTCGAGGCAGCCAACAGAGCTGGAGCTAGAGCAAGCATTTCACCAAGGCAAGTACATTGCAAACATTACCAAGAAGCTCAAGGGATCTACTGCTTAAGAGCTTTTCAAAAAAAGATTTTACTACGGTATCAATAAGTACAAAAAAAGACCCGTTTGGTTCTGCATTTTATATAAAAATCATATATTCTTTCTCTTTGAATTTGGAGACCTTTTGTGATTTTTGGGGTTTAATTATCTGAAAGCTACATGATATTATTATTTTCACAGCAATAATTCTTGTCTTGGTTTTTACGTATAGATATGTATGATTTGAACTTGTGTTGCACTCCAAACTAAAGAGGCCTCGTCATTTACTAAAGTTTAGTTAGCTTTTGTTAAAGTACTCTGTTCAAGTTCATCTTCCTCTTTATTCATTGACTGTATTTATACAAAATGGAATCTTAGAGAGAAAAATAATTCATCTAACAAAAAGAAAATCTAAGAAAAGGAAAAAGTTTCATTGTCCACGTACACTAAGCCAAAACTGTCGACTTCATTGACGTAATATTGGTCAGTCCCGGACTGGACTGGACTGAACACCCTAGTACTGTATAATGAACCAAACACAATGTCAAAATTCTGCAACGAAAAAAGACCAAAGATTTATGGTGGCCTAATAACGTCCCAATGCTACCAAATGTGGCGGCCCAAACAAAAGTCAATATTATATTATTATCGCCATGTCTGCTTCTAAATTTCAAACACGAATAAAAAGTTTATGAGGATTTCTGTCCAATATGGTGAAAACTTGTAATGGTTTTACTTTTGAGCACTACTGATTATACTGTTAACTGATTAGATTGAAGAAGAAAAGACTACTCATGAACATTATGACAAACTTTCTATTTACCTTAATTACATTGTAATACTCTTTAATTATTCTATTAATGGGTGTCATTTTTTAACATTCCAAGTTAGAACAACAAAAATTCATTGACGAAAACCTCTCACAATATAGAGTTTTGTATTAAATGATAAACATATTTAACTAATTTTCCATAAGAAAGACAAATGTTCATGACATTAAACTATAATTTCTTTCGGGTTAGAAAAAAAATAAAAATAAATTCTAATTTGACTACAAGCTTATATTAATCTGCAACATTATTGACTATATGTCCATTATATAATAACTAGCCTAAACATGGACAAACGAAAAAACATATTGGATTATGTGAACAAAATTAGATTACATGATTATGCAAAAGTGACATGTTCATATACATTAAGGTATATAGGATTAATGAGATACAAAACTGCAACTTGTGAGATAAGTGTCCTTTTCTTTCACACAAGTGTATATTTCTTTTAGATTTGCCTAATCTAAACATAAAACCATTTGAATTTTACATGTTTCATTTTTGTGCACAATGAATTTGAAAATACATTTAACATAGTTATTCTCTCTAGGGGTAGGCATTTCGATTTTTAGGTTGGGTTGGGTTCGGTTTGGTTTTTTTGGTTTTACAGTTTATCAGTTTTATAAAAACTCAAACCCATATAAAAATCATATATATTTCGGTTTGGTGTGGTTCGGTTTTTTTAGTTTTTGGTTTCTCAGTTTTATAAAAACTGAAACCATATAAAAACCATTTGTAGTTCGGTTTGATTATGGTACTTTAACAATATGAAAACAATATAAAAACCATATAAAAACTGAAATCATATAAAAACCATAGAAAAACCATATAAAAACTCTCCACAGCTTTTTCCTCTTTGGAAAATGTTTCGATCTCTACTTCACCACCAACGAGCAATGACTCCAAGGACGTTGGTTCGTTTCTACGGTAAGAGGAAAGACAACGGTAAGAAGAAAGACCGTGCCGCCGGTGAGAAAGAAGTGCAGAGAGACAGAGGAGCATGGATCATAAGGCTTGGTGGCAAGCCTCTGCCGCCGTCGCCTCCACCGCCGATGAGTGAGAATATGGTGGAGGTTGATAACCTCAACCACAAAGCTGACAGAAACGAAATCTGGCAAATAAGGTGGTTCAAGAAGGCTGAAGATTATCTGACGGAGGCCGATTTGCAGAAGAATGAAGAGGACGTGGCCGAGTATCTGAAGCTGTCGGAGGATGCAAGTTCAAAGGAAAAGTCACTCAGGTACACGGTTGAAGATTTGCTGAAGAAAAAAGCATCTTTACTCAGGAAGGAAGCTCTGGAGACTAATAACACTCCCCAAACTGACGTTTGAGGTTACTCTTTTGATCACTGCTTTGTTTCAACTGAGTCGTACTGAGTCACCGAGTTTAGTCATTGAGTCATTGAACTTAGATATGTTTTGAAGCTCTCGGATGAGAGGGTAAACTTTTGTTTGTTTCACCCGAGTCACTGAACTGAGTTACTGAGTTAAATCTGTGTCGTACTGAGTTTTTATTTGATAAATCTGTGTTTGTTTGTTTTGGAGGATGTCCTAACAAGGATTGGACTCAGTGAGTTCGAATTATTATGTTCTGTACAAACACGTCTAAACCCGTTTGCATCGGATACAAATCCAAAACGAATTTTTTAGTTTTTTTAGTTTTTGGTTTCCCAGTTTTATAAAAACTGAAACCATATAAAAATCATTTGTAGTTCGGTTTGATTATGGTTTTTTACAGTTTATTCTATAACTTTCAATTATGGAAGATAAAACCAAAAAATTTCAAAAAAACAACACAACCTTTGAAAAGTAAATTTCATAAGAAAAAAATTGAATAAGTGCCATCAATTTCTAATACCACTTAATATCACTTGAGAAACATGCAAAACATGTGAAAAACATTGTTTCGGTTTGTAAATTTTGACATGTGCATAGAAAAAAAATAAGCCTACAAAAACTAGAAGTATATGGAAAAAATCAGATTCTTATGTAGAATTGTTTAAATACTTAAAAAACCAACTGTGACTTGTGAAGAAGAGGAAAATATCACATATTTTCAAAAATTAGGAACACATGACTATAATTGTTTTACGGCCAAAATTGTTTTGTTATTTTGTTTAATGTTTCTATTATTTAATAGATTTTGTTTACAAATCTTAAATATTAAGTTTTTTTTTTCGACCTCTTAAACATTCCGTTTTACGGTGTTAAACCAAATCAAACCAAAACCAAAATTTAATAAAATAATCAAATTGATTTTTCGATTAAATCATAACCAAACCAAAATCACTTATTTTAGTTTGATTCAGTTTGTTTTTTTTTATTATAGTTTATTTGCCCACCCCTAATTCTCCCCTTCCTTCACCTTTTCTCCCATTCCCCGACCATCTCGGGGAACAAATCCATGGATAAATCGTTTCCAAATCCAAATTGGTCTTGTTTTATAAGGCTAAAAGATTGAATTCTCGAGCACCTCTTTGGCATAAAAAACCGGCTGAATGTAACTTATCTATCACCGGATGAAAATCTCTATTAGTAGAGATGATTAACACATTCCTCGAAAGACGTCCTTCCAACTTTTTTATGAAGATTTCTTCGATCATATACACATCTGCCATATCCTTAACAAGTTTATATGGATCAACTTCAAAGCGCCTTCGATTCTCCATCCACTCGATCTCTAAGGACATTGACACATGAAAATTTTGCAGCTTCATTAGCATATCTCAGATCAATTTCCTTCATTCTAATATGTGTGCATGGAGATTTAGAACTGCAGTCCAATTTTACACTCAATTTCTGTAGCTGATGTTCCTCTTGTGCATTGATATATTACATCGTTTATCCCCACTCCTGATTCCTAAATCATTATCAATACTTAAAAAATGTAAGTAAGATGCTTATTAATTAGCTCCTCTAGGCTAATTCTAGCTCACGTACATTTTTGTCAAGCATGCATATATTGATGATCTTCTTTCTTAACTCTTCATCTTATTATCCTTAATAATTAATGTAAGTATGACTCTGTGTCTTCTGATATTTTGGATTTTAAATCATTTAGGTACATTAGTGGTGGTGAATGATGCAGAAAGATATTTAAAAATATCTTAAATATCTTAATTATTTATTTAATTTTCTTTTATTGTTTTAAGATTTAATTTTTTAGTGTTTTTGATTTATCATAAATAAGCAGTTAGGTTCATATTTGACAATAAGAACATTGTCCGTTAATTACAGACAATCAGCATTTGAAAACTGGTATTATCGCAGCGAATCTCATATTTTAAAATGGTAATCCCGTGAACAGAGCTCGTATTAGCATCCGAACTAAAAGTAAAAAACTGATACTACTAAACAAAATTATCTTACCCACGAATGGTCCTGTATCTAAAGCACTAACAAACATTGAATCATGTATACTATAAACTTTAAAATTATATACGCTTTCTTTCATTATCATCCGGAATATTCTGAATGAATCTTTAGAATTAATTTACCTTCTTAACCTTAAGAGTTCGTTTAAGCTTGAGGACATGGATTCGAATATGCTTCGGAACGAGGATTACCTAAGGAAATTTTCATAATGTAGCAAAGTTATATAGGTTACTGAAAGTAATTCCTCTGGAAAATATCATTTTACCTATCATTTTACTAAAAAAATGTAATTATTAAAACGGTTAGTACGTACCTATTCATAAGAATCGTAGTTCCCAAACATGTCCAAATAAATAGTTCGGTGTGCATAAATAAATTACTAAGACGACGACGACATTATTGTCATGTAACTAGTATACTAAGAAAACTTAATACTCTTAATTGCATGATCCCCAATTGCCATGGCTTCTATAACTCTGATTTTAACGATCACTAACATTGTCCATTGTATTTGTGTATCTTTTGAATAAGTTACTTAACCTTCTTCCACGAAATCTTTGAGAAGATGCACATTCATCATTAAAAATGTTATTTTCATCAAATAGATCACTAATTAAAATATAGGTTCAATCATCTTCTCTTTAACAATCGTTCTTGACTTTGGGGGAGTAATTGAGGAACTCCTTTAATTTTGTAGCTACTCCTGTTGGTTTTTTTTATTTTTAAGTTAGCTTCTCCTGTGAGAAAAAAAAAAGTTAGCTTCTCCTGTTGCCGTGGACGTCTATTATGATAATTACGACTAACCAATTTGATTACTACAGTAGAACCTCTATAAATTAATACTCGATAAATTAATAATTACTATAAATTAATAAATTTTGTTGGTCCCAAGTCGGGCCAATATAAAAATCCATTAAATTCGATAAGATAATAAGATAATATTTTTTTTAAAACCTTTATATAAATATATGGTCCCAACAAAAACATAAATTAATAATTA